GAACCAAAGTCCCTTAAACATCAAAATAAAAACTATTTTCCCGAACAAACAAAAAACCATAGTTAAAGAATTGATTGAAAAGAAAAAAAACTTCCCTATCTTCTCATATTCGTCTCCCTATATTCTTCTCTTCGATCTCCTTTTATCTCTTTGGCTCTGTCTCCTCTCCTCTTATCATCTTAGATCTGCACCTTTGACCGAAAAAATTCCCCTTTGTTTTCACCGAAGGAAACCATCTCGACCCTTCCGATTTCTAGTGTGGATCTCAACATCTCAGCCACCGTGTGATGTCATCGCTGACGTCTTCTTTCAAGAATCATTCCGACAAAGAAGAGGAGGAGCCGCCGCGTCTGTTGGAACACGTGCCGCTGGAAAAAGAAACAAAGTCATGTGTCGATTCTCGTGGACCAGATTCAGAGATTCCGTTTCTTCTCATACTTATCTCAGGTTCTGCTTAACTTCTCTCTTCCTCTCTAATGCTAGGTCGATTTCTTCCCAATAATGGTTAAATTTCAGTAATTTATGCCCTAGTGCCCCCAAGTTTTGAGAAAGCTAAGAGCTTTCTTAATAAATACTTGATTTTTCAATAAATACTTGATTTTTCAGACTGTGGTAGTAGTTATTAAGGGTATTTTATTTAGATTTTCACTTTTTTTTTTCAAATAAAATTTATAGATTGGTGATTTGCCTTAAGTTTCTTAATTGGTGATATAACATGTATGAGATCTCTTATGCTTACTCTTCTCTGCTCTTTCCTTGTTTGTAGCAGAATGGAAGAAGAGGCAGTTTCGCTTATTTAGCTATGGAAATCGTTATCATTCGTCTTTAGGGAATAATAATATTAGTGACTTTTTGCTTCCTCTGGCTATGGCATTATAAGATCTTTGTGGTGATTTTGACAAAGGTTGTTTAATTTGGAGTCTGAGATAGGACTAGTCAAGGTAAAGTATATTGATTTTTTTCATTTTTACTTAATGAGTTCTCTAAATGTGTGTTTATAATAGAAATTTATGGCTTTATGAAGGGGAGAATGGTTGAGGTTTACTGCAAAGAAGTTTCTTGAAAGACAACTCTAACTCTTCATATCATCAAGGAAGCTCAAAAGCTTGGAGGTACTATTATTCATAGAACCCAAGTAGACTTCAAAAACCCTATGTCCATTGATCTTAGAATCTAAAATTTGAGCACATCAAGTAGAAGTCTTTGTACTCATGAGTATCACATCTCTACAACAAGACCTTTGTGAACCTGTCTTCGTGTCTTCACCACTGTATGCTTGTTCAGGTAACCTTCAAGAAATTTTAAAACCAAAATATAGCAAAATCAAATAGAATTTGACTATTATCTTTGCACTTTTACGATTCAATGTTGAAGATTCTGTATCTTGATTTCTTTAACGTTGCTATTCACTCTCATTTACATGGCAGCCTAGAAGGCAATGCAAAGTTATTTGTATAAGTTGCAATGTTTTTATGTTTATATGCCTCTGATGGATTTAAACACAAGGGTTTTGAGATTTCTCCTTTTGATCTTTTCAAAATGTTGAGAATCATGCATACATGAAGATCCGTCTCATAGCTGAAGATGTTCAGGGAAGGAATGTGTTGACCCAATTCTGGGGCATGAATTTCACAATGGGCAAGCTAAGGTCATTGGTGAAAAAGTGGGCATGCTTTGATTGAAGCCCATGTTGATGTGAAAACCACAGACAGCTACACCTTGAGGTAATTAACAACATAAAGTGTGTTTATTATTTGATCATGTAAACAGAAATGTTGAATAGGATTCTCTGAGATTCACATATTCTATCTTTGATAATTGATCAGCTTGTTTTCGCTTCACTAGATTTCCTGTAAGCTTCCACTCTCTTTTATTTGCATGGTTTCTTTGTTCCAACTGATTGAAAATTTTGAGACAGTTATTGCATTTTGTGGTTGCAGCTTAAGAAGAGACTATGCAAGTTGAGTTTGCTGCAAAGTCGCAAGAGTATGTAATTTCAAGCTGAACCTGTGAGGTGAGGTGATATCATTGTATCAGTTCTTCAATGTTCTTCCTTTGAGTATGAAGCAAATTTGTTAAGTTGTTGTTTTGTTTAAACTAGTTATGCAGAAAGGAAGGAAACTTATTCAAGTAAGTCGAAGCTAGAAGTGCAAGTAAACTAAGGAAGAATATTGTTTCTCTTATTCTTTATCTCACAAACCCTTATGATTAGCATTGTTGTTATATAGGAGTAGTTAAGGATGATTCGAATTCGATATTAGCAGTTGTTGTGTATTTAACATTTGGTTTGGATTATAAATTTGTAAGACTTATTATGTTTTTTCTTATGAAGTA